CTATTTAATAATATGTGCATGAATGATATTTATTCGACAGATAACGAAAAGGTTGAAGGCATAAGATTGAAGGCATAAGGTTTAAAGCATAAGGTTGAAGGCATAAGGTTGAAGGCATAAGGTTGAAGGCATAAGGTAAGGTAAGAAGCATGAATTTGAAGCATAAGTTGATAGATTATTTGCATGTTTGATATAGATCGGCTTAAATATTTGTACATTTTGTTCTGTTCATATTTCCTGGACACTGCTCGCGTTTACAAATTTGACAGATCCTTACTCTCTTTGCACGCTTTATGGGAGGACCATTTTGGGCTGTTGTTACTTGTGCTGGCTGGATTGACCGGTATGGCTGTTCCTAGATTAGATAGTGGAATTAGTATAACATAGTTTAATTGATGGTAACTTCTCTTACAGTAGGAGAGCTTACAGATGTGTAATTATATGGGGTAGAAAAAAATTGAGGAGATATGGTAACTTGTTGTTGTTGTTGTTGTTGTTGTTGATTTGGAAAATAATTTGTATTAGCATTTTTTTGAGGTATCATTGGATTAAATACGAAATTAGAGATATATTGGTGAGGTTGATTGCATGCAACGTTTAAAGAATTTGGGGAATTGATGGGTAGGATACTCGTTAAATTTACTGCATCTGCACCTGAAGATCCTGATGATAAAGGATAGGAGGAATTGTGATGATTTGTTACAGAGGCATTAGGGATTATGTAAGGTCGCTCTGGGACCTGTACCTGTATGTTTGTAGTAGTATTTGTTTGTTCTATTCTAATCTTGACGGTGCTCAACAAGGTTTCAAATTTATTTCTGGATTCAGCAGCATCTCTAAATTTTTTCCATTGACTGTAATACAGTTTTAAATGCTCTGGCGTCTTGTAAAATACTGTCATTCCATTTACTGAAAGTTCCTTGTCATTTAAGTTGGAGGTATTCCAAGTTATAGCAATACTTTTGAAATTAGGCAAAGAGTTAGACTGTGAGTGATGATCAAGGAGCATTTTGTGAAACATATGTTTTTCCTCGTTAGTTATGACTGGAAGGACTGCATATAAGGCCTACTGCAAACAGGCAATATATTTGAATCTTGCAAATTTGACACGTAATGTTGAGCCTACTGTATGAAAGTAGATATTCTCTATACTAGGAATAGTTGAATCACGATCTGGATTATAGACTGTCTTACTGGGATTGGAACCTAAAATAAAATTGTTATTTTTTGTTTTTTCGAGTGAGCTTCACAATAAACGTACATTTCTCTATACATAGTTTCTCCATAACATCAGTGGGCAGAGGACATATACCAAAACTCTCGTCAGATCCTTGATATTGAGTTGAGTTCAACCCAATTGCAATCTGGTTAGCGTCGGTTGGAAACTCCAGTAATAATCGCTTTTCGTGAATTATTTGTGTCAGCCATGGATCATAATGAGAGCGGTAATTTCGAAGGTATCTGTTGGCTGTACCCACCTAAAATTTATCACAATATATAAAATAATTAGGTACATATTAAAACATAAAACCTTCAAATTGACACTTACGTCCAAATTGTGTCTCATTCTGAATTCTGCGAGAGCACTATCTGTTAAAGCAGGACCAGCACCATACGAACCAAATTTCTTGATTATGTGTCTGTGTATGCCACCTTCAAGTGAATTTGTTCCACGCAAGCAATGATACTTTGTAAGGCCATGTTTATCTACACCCATGTTGAGGTATAAAACAACATCAGGAGGGTCGGAAACGTGACCAAGATTCACTGAGTGTAATATATTGGCTGCTTGGCTCCATGCAACTTTGTCAAACAAACAACTTCCTGTAACAGAACATTTTAAGGGACCAAATGTGAGGAACAGCGTTTTGAGTTGCGTGAAAAGAGAAGAAGGCTCACGGACTCTTCTCTTAACTCGTTTCCATACCCACTCAAAATCATATTTCAGCTTGTCATCCCAGGTTGTATGAAGCTTTTCATTCAAGACCTTTTCAACTTCGGCTTTGTCTTCAGCATCCAAAATCAATAGCGTGTCACGAAATCTTCGAGAAAATTCAACCCGCAAACCGTGATTGGATGGTGTTTTAATAAGATCCATAAGATGAAAAACATCTTTTATAACTCGGCTAAACACCCTATTGTCGTGGGGAGCGGAATTTAGGTTGTTGATTGGCATAACTTTTTTGTAACCGTATTCAAAATTTTCTCGATCAACATCAGAAATACAGTCATCAAACATGTTTTTCATTACTTCTGAAATATCCTCTTCTCCAGTCTCTTGTAAATCCCCAATTTCGTCTTTATTTTCTGCCACACTTTCATCTTGAGTATTATTGCTGCTATTCGATCTAGTGCTATTTATGCAACCATTGACGAATTCCGCAGAATCAGTCTCTAAATCAGCCTTCAAAACTGGCAACTTGAATGGTACCGGGAGATACGAGCCCAACGGCCTACCATTATTTGGACTTTTGCGAGGTGTCTTGGCGATGCCACGTTGTATATATCCAGGTGCTGATACATGTAAAATTGTAACAATGACCCGACTTGCAATTAAGTAATCCGTTGTGATTTGAAACTTTTCCCTGTCTTCAGCGGTTTGCTCGTCTACTCTACCAAGTGCAACATAACTACTCGAACCTTTCGGTCTAAATCTCACATAGGTTCCAGGGACAACAATATTACCAAAGGAGAGACGTGTTCCAACTTCCGGTAACGCTACAGCCTTTTCGTAAATTTTCAAAGAAGCCCAAGCATCTATAGCAGCATACTTTTTTTGAACTTCTGACAAACAAGATACACTCCAGTCTCCAATCCTTTCATCTTTGTTGAGCTTGTACCCCAATACTTTTGCTGAAATTTCAGACAGACTGAGTTTGCCATGCTCAATCAAATTTCGACTTTTGCAAAAAGTCCCAAGTTCTACTGGAGACTCACAAATCACACCAGTGAATGTACGTTTAATTCGGTTCAAATCACCAGAGACTAGCTTTCCAACCTTGAGAATATTTTTATTTTTTAAAAAGTTTACCAAAGAAACAGGTAGAGTATTCCAGATATTGGTGACATGAAGAATGATAACCTCTTCATCATACGCAATTTTTATGGTATCAATCCCGTTGTTGGAAGTGTTCGTTTCCTCATTATAGCTCCATTCACAATCAAATCCTACAGCAGGTGTGTTGCTAGGATCTAATGAAATTCGTTCATTTAACTCAGCAATGGCGTGTTCCATTTCGTGAAATTGCGTGATATATTTGACCTTTACAAAATCAGGTAAATCCATCTCTGGGTATATTTCCAAAGCGGCGTTGGATTCATTTCCGTATCTCTGCTCTTGAACACCTGCGGTCAAAGATGGGATGACGCTTTCAATAAACCGTCTATCAGCACGTACATCGTCAGTGAAAAAAACAGTGGGGAGCTCGTGTCCGTACATCTTGTAAGCATCATACATTTTTTCAAATGACCATTTCAAGTACGAGTGGGACTTGGATGGAACCAATGACATCAACCGAATTTCTTCATACTCATTGACTACTGTATAGAGTGCCGTGAAGGCACTGGATTTGTCAATTTTGGCAATATGGTTAACTAAAAATTTCAGTCATAGTTAATATATATAATGGATGAGTGATGCTGACATTACTAATTTTGAAAGAGTGGTCACCACGAATGATCTTTCCACCAGTCAACATGAGCATCTTGTCCATAAATGGTCTTACTTCTTCAATGATACTTGTGTAAAGAGTTCTAAAGTATACTGGCGTTGGAACAAAACCAGCATATCCTAATTGATCGTCAAAAGACGAAAAGGGTGCGTAATTGATGGAAGCAGATTTGAAAAAGGCCCCAACCCCTTCAGCTTCCTTTTTCTTCTTCTTCAATACATTTGTCAGGTAGATCAACTCCAGTCTATCATGCTCGAGCATATGAAGCTCTCTAATGATTTTAGAAAAACACTTTGGCCCGACTGAATTTTGCACACAAGGTCTAAGAAGATCTGCGACTTCACGAGATACCGCACCTTTATGGGTTATTATTCCAGGGAAAGCCTCTTGCAACTCAACTGAAAGTTGTGCCATCAATTTAGGATCATGAGCATTAAAGGTTATTTTACATGAAGAGCATGCATATCGGTATGACATAATATAAAAACATCTAGGGAAATAAATAAAAACGTCTAAACCTATCTGAAATAACATATTTACCTTGTTAGACCTACTGCGCGCCTTGCATGTGGATCCTTATAGTAGCCTTTTGACGTAACGTTTCCAGAACAGTGTTTCGAAATACATTTCAGATCTTTATAGCCATTTTGCAGGAGATGGTGAGGCTGCCAAAGGAATATGTCTGGCTTGTATAATTCACTTAAAGGGTTTTTAAGCTGCATAGCAAAATACGTATCCATGGGACGAATCCAAAATGTTTTCGAAGAATAAGGAGGAGGATACTTAGCCTTTGATAAATCGGATTGAACTTTTTCAAAATACTGGAATAAGGCACGGTTTCGATTCAGATTTTCTTGAAATTGTTCACTTTCGGCGTCGTTATCATCACCATCATCCTCGTCGGAGTTATCCTCATCAACTAAAGAATCACTCGTCGAAAAATTGCCGTCAACAAGGATGGATGCTTCAGGAACATCAATAGCTGAACTTGTCAAATTTTGAGTCTATATAAATACAATATCAGTAACGCATACATTTAAACCCAATATTAAGTATTACTGTTATTTGGTTAATGTCACTCTCAATATATTGAGTGTGCTCCGGGTTGACAGAAGTCGAGTTGCTGTCACTTAGAAAATTTGAAATAGAGGCTTGCATACTTTGCATTACAGCTTTCTGTTTTCCCTTGTTCTTTTTTTGATTGATCATAAAAAAATAAATTAACAAAGAGAAAGAAAGCGTATGATAGAGCCATTTCAGGATTACTCTTATATAACATATCCATATTAGGGAGAGCCCCTAATGCATTTTTTCCTAATGTTGTTAAGCATGAACAGTTTATTGTTACAGCTTATGTCAGCAGGTAATATCTATTAAAAAAATTTATTGAAGTCGTACATTGGAAAAAAAACCAATCTTTGTATGTTGCAATTCGTATAATTTCATATCACCAACTGTTCGTAACCACTTCCTGTCCTGGTTGAAGCATTTTTTACAAATATTTAATTACAGCCTTTGGATTACCATTTAATTGGCTATAAAAATTAATCACAGCCTTTGGATCGCATATTTATTGGATACTGAATTTTAAAATGAATCTCAGGGGCCAATAGAATTAGGATCCAAAGGTTTGTATTACCCCCAGCTATGTTATCCCAGCCAACAAATCCGATCGAACGATTTTGGAGGGCCGCTAAGAAAGTTGCAAGACAAAATTGCAACTCCAACTTCAAGTCCTTCGACAATAATATCAACATGTTTCTGGATAGTGCTGCTCCTCCTGGAGAGCCACCTCTTTTGATTAGAAGAAACTGGAACAAAAGTTTCCGTTATATCGAAGCTTACAGCCAAGGTAAAGATGCAAAAGACGTCTTCGCCATTGTTAAAGAATTTTCTAAACTGCCAAGATCACATCGCAAGCTTCGGTTAGACCAATAAAAAGTTTACACTACAATCATGAAATGAATTAGGAACTTCTTAAAAAAATACATAAGAACATGTGAAATGAACATTTTAAAATGAAATGAGCAAAAAAAAATGAAAACAATTGTAGGGATCGGACTTGAAATTCACAAAAATGTCCGTTTTTTTCTAAAATTGTTCATTATAAAATAGATGCACTGTAGGAAGAAAAGCTAAAAAGTTTTTAAATTTATATAAAAAATCGAATGTTATATATGTCTGGTATTTCTAGCTGTAGTTGGTGTTTCAAGTCCTTCTACCGAATCCTCTACAACGGGGAGAACTCCAACCTTATTTTATGTCAATTTGTTAGATTTATAATGTTTCACTTCAGTATTTAAAGTGACCTTAGCTTTCGTTTTTCACTTTGACGTTGCCCCTTCATTGTGTCTTGAATGAGTAGATTAGCTGCCCATTTATTGTTGCAGTTGTAGATTTGATAACCATAATTCATGATATGGCTTTCAAGTCTTAAAGCATAGTATGTGTTGAGGATATCATAGATATAATAATAGAGTTAATTGTCACATCACATTATTAGTGGATAATAAATATAAGAGTTAATCAGGAATCACACATTACCCCGTTTGTTCTCATCCTACCGTTGAAGTCTGTAAACAGGGCACAACCCTGTGGCAAGTAAATATTTATTCTGCAAAAAGCAATACAATCAAATGGGCCTGTGTAGTAAAAATAGACTTTAAGAGAGAATAGTTTTACAGAAAAGATAGATAAAAAACAAAGAGAATACAATTATAAGTCTTGTCGATTTATTTGTATAAAAATTGATTGAGAACTAACTAGACGGGCAGGTTTGCCCTGATATTTATAGAAGATTGAAGATATTGTGGCTTGTATTTTTGACAGCTCAGATCCATCGTAGTTTTATATGATGGACCATTCATTTGGTTTATTGAAGATTGTAAGGTAGCTGTCCTTGATTTATTATTGTTCCTTAAATTCTCTGATCTCTCATTGGTCGGAGCCTAGAGTTGTGTTATAATGAAGAAATTGTTGTGATCGAGCTTATATACAGATATAACTCTATCATCAATTCTTTCTTTCTTATTTGATAACCTTTCTATAAATCATTATTGAATTACTCTTTAAATCAAATACATGCTATTACACTCTATTTACTACGCGTTGATTACTCATCAACATATAGAAAACAATAGTCATACATTTATTCCAGATAATACAATCCAATGATATGATCGCTCGTCAATAACAAGATTCTCGAAGGTACCATGAGATGCTCGATCTTTAATTGACAATACGCCTATTGTATATTTGACAGGTTTCACTTTAATGATTGATATTCAGCCAGCCCTGAATATGCATATAAAGAACCCAATTTATTGTATAATAAAGACCTTAGTTTATTTTTGCAGTTTGATAATTTTACTTCGTCAAATTTCTTTATTTTTATTCTTAATTCGTTGCTTTATCTCTCGAATTTCTCAGAAATTTCCATGAAGCCGGGTTACTTATTCCCGATCTTTTATCCGTGAAACATCTTTCCTTTTGTAGACAGTAGCATTTATTATGTGGTTTTAGCACAGCCTGGACTATGGAATAATAATAGATCCTGAGCACAAACATTACTCTTGTAATTTGATGTTATAACTGTTGATCCCTCTGACTAATATTTATATACTCAGGGGAAATGTAGTTCTTAATTCAGATAGCTGTGGCACCTCAATGTGGCTGATGTAACCTTCATATATTTTCATATCAATGTTATTATTTAAATGTATGTCTTATACTTGTATGAAGGATGATATGAGATCAAGCCTGTACATAAAGTAAATAATCAGTACTTAATATAACAGTATCAATAAGAGTTATATTTAGGATTATCAAATGGAAGATTTAAGAAGTGTAGATAGAGTCATATATTAAGTATATAGCCTCGATCACGACACCATATCAACATATTTTTTAAGAAAAAGCTTCAACGTTCATAGGAAACTTATTTCGGGATCACACAATGATTGTTCGGGTGTCGACAATCCTACCTTTATAGAGAAGGTAAAAAAAAAAATGCCCTAAAAAAAAAAAAAAAAAAAAAAAAAAGAAAAAAAAAAAAAAACTTCAGTGCTACCTCCTGAAAGTTGGTCAGTTTATATATACCCCTTTCCTAAAAATTGATCAAAAAATGCTGGTATGCATATCAACCACCAATTCTTAAGACTGAAAAAAAAATGAAATAGCTCTAACTCTTCCAAAATTTAAAATGCTTTCGTTTTAAAAGTTGGTATGCATTGTGGAAAGTTATCTGTAAGAGTTTATAATTACAAATATGTTTTTTGCTACTTTTTTGTTTGGCACCAAAAATATAAAAGTGAATAAGGATCTATTCCGAGATATCACTGGTTTGCCGAAATAAATTGGTAGATTGATGCAGATTTGGACATAGCTGCCATACCTTGGTTCATAGTGATTGCTAAGCCAGGTGACAGTCATAGTTTATAGACAAGCACACTTGAATATGAACAAGGTTTGATTATCTGCTGTTGAGGTTATAATAAAAAAAGGAGAACGGACTTGATGACATTCGACGTAGTTTATACAATGATTCAGGACGTAAAGAACGTGAAGAATTTGAAGATCCTGTTTTATTCTGTTGAATATCAGATTGATTTTACGATAAAAAATAAAAAAAATGCATTACAAAGAACATGTCAGACGATGTAAAGATAGTAAAAATAACTTCTATCTATTTTCTCTCAGTCTTTATACGCACAAACCCTGTGTTCGGTGATGAAGACATGTGTCAAATGAAATGCACTTCCAACATCGTCAATCATAATTTTTTGTGTCACGTAAATTGGCTTACATGGCACAGTTTTAAGTGTGATAAGATGATAAACATTCTTGTGCTCTTTTTATGTAATGTAATTTATTATTCTCCTGCACTACATTACTACCAAATATTCGTGTATGCTTTCCGTCTCCCCCATTCATAGAATTGAGAAAAATCCATTTTTATTGCTCTTATATTACGATAAATTAATACGAAATCCACCGGTTAATTAATTCTTATAGTCACGCAGTGATCTTCAAAGAGATAAATAAACTTCCATATAACAGTATGAAATTTATTTAAATTATCTTCTACGAGTGAATATATAAAGGTTTACCTGATTCCAAATTATCTGTTTAAGCCGTATGTATAATTTTATAACAAATTGATACATGGACAGCTCTCATGTTGATAGGACAGTATCTAAGAGTGAGACATAATTATGATTAGGACTGCTTCAAGAATACGTATCACAATCGCATTTGACTCAAATATAACTCACCTCCAATGATGTATATTTGGAAAATCAACTAGTGTCCATGTGTTTGTTGATTTCATATAATACAACACTATGGCGGAAATAATGGCAACTATCTGCCATTTACTTCACAAAACTGCCATTTTTTTGGCGTGCAAAAGTGGCAGATATGATATTCTATAATAACAAAAGAGGCACAGCTGCCATATTTTTGGCTGGCAAAAATGGCACCTTTAACAGTTGAATGAAGCCAAGAGGTTCACTGCTGCTGTTTTTTGGTTTTAAAAAATGGCATCTATTTTAGTTTGTTGAAGACAAATCATTCACAGCTTCCATTTTCCTGGCTTGTAAAAGTGCCAGTTATGATATTCTATAATAACAAAACGTTCACAGCTGCCACTTTTTTTTAAACGGACAAACCCTTAACCTTTCTTTTAGACCCATTCTTTTATATTTGGTAGGCTCACATTTTCTTATTCATTGTTATTATTGGCAGTAAAGCACGTTTTATTGGATTTTTTATTTATATTTCAGTGGTGTATAGGAGGGTTCGATATAACTTTAACCTCTTTATTTACGTTTGTGGTTGTATACATGGCAATAAGATATACCATTATAATGCTTGGATGTTACTTTAGCTTACCTTTGATTCTCTTAACACTCTATAAAGGTATTGTAAGAAAATAGTAATATTGTTATTAATTCTGTATTTTATTACCAGCCTTAAGTTCTGATGTCGATGATTATTTGACCGGTGGTGTTCCTAAAATGTCGTCGTTTGAGTGAAAGGTACACAGAATAAATAGTCTATATGTAAGCAGTATGATATCAATAAGAATAAAACATAACTTTTTAAAGGCTATTTACCTGTAAAGATAGAACCGTTTATTGATGAGGACCATTATCTATGGAAAATGGTTATATTATACAGGCGTACTTCAGTTTGATCAAAATAAAAAAAAATAGGCTAAATTTTTATCTAAAAAAAAAACCCTTTAGTTTTTTATACAGATTACATGTCATTGCTTCAGTCATTGCAAACATACTCAATTCCAACATATTTGTTCACACTTTCCGTTATTTTGAAGGGGCTCTATACCCTTACCATCATTATTTGAAGGCTATTTATTTTAAAAGATAAATAAAAGTAAAAGAAAGAGAGAAAAAACTGTAAGCTAAAAGAACGCTAAAATACACACTAATAAAGAAGCTAAAAACCAGAATGGACCAATCATGTCGACCAGACACGACTATTATCTTCTTCTGGTTCTTTTACGTGAAGGTTCATTCGCTACCTCTGGTGGAGGAGAACTGTATAAAAAATATTTATCGCATATGAGTATACATATATCATGCATGAAAAACAATAAAAAAAACTTACAGCACGTCCGCTATGATGGGGGACTCATCGCGACTCATATCTTCGAAAGCGTCATTGATAGAGTCTGAACTATCGGGATCTTGTTGATTCTACATTTTTATACTTTGTTATTGATAGTTATATAACAAACCGCTAAAGAACCTTTTACTGTTATCCTTCTTCTGTGTGTTTGGTTGTCACTTTTAAAGCTCTCCCTTAACAAGCTTTTAGCACACCACATTCTCTTACACTGGTAAATTTTGAATCCCTTGTCATTCCCAAGTTTTTCCAGGCGCAATATCTTTTTTTTTTAAAAAAAAATAAGTAAAAAAATGGCAACTTGTTACCATTTGCTTCACAAGCGCAAAAAATCATTTTTTATACCGTAACCCATCAAATTCGGATCAATATTGCATCAATTTTTTGGCATATAGCAATCTTATTTTAACTTTGAGATAGTTTCTATAACATCTAAACTACATATTGACGGTTCCAGAAATGATTTTGAAGCATTTTTGTTTTTTTATGATATTATGATCATTTGTATCAATCTTTTGCTCGAATCTTATTGGCTGGGGATATCGAGCAAATAAAAAAAATGGCAGTTATGTTGCCATTTAATTCACAGCTGCTGGTATATCCGCCATAGTGCACCATTGCCAAAGGGGCTAACCTGGTATCTTCGGATTCCCTGACTTTCTACATGAGAGGGACCGCAAACCAATCTCTTTCCATTCGCATCATCAACTTCCTCTACCTCAAGATTTCGAATTCTTCGCTGATTATAGAAGGGTGGCATCGCACCGTTACCCTGGATGACCTTTTCAAATTTATGAAGGACGTAACACTCGACATCATTCACTGTAACAAGCACGAGCCTATCGAGTCTCTTGTTGTTTACTCGTCCCAAGTACACAATATTTAATTAACTGTGCCAAATTCGATAGAGTTGTTGGTCAACATATGCAAAAAATCAGATGTCCTTGTGCAATTTACTTCAACTTTGAGCCTGTCTTTTTTACACCAGTTCTTAAAGTTGTACATAAACGTGATCTGATCGCCATACTTTTGTTGTAAACCAACAATTGTTTAATAAAACTGGTCAAGATCTCCTTCGCATACGATTCGTTGCAAATAGCTGATCATTTTACCTCTGATGACTCTATTTGGATCAGGTAAGAATTCAGGAACAGAGGCAGAAGAAAAATGTTTGTTCCACGCCTGAGTCACATGGAAGACTCAGTATTGAGTTTTTGTCTGTGCTGGATCAAAGATATTGCTAACTTCAGTTACTTGGGCCTGGCAACAGTCGATGGTAAACTGTTAAGGATTAACCAAAAGACGGGAATCCCTTAATTGCTGAAGTCATTCAACAATTGGTCCAATACCATGATCAAGGGTCATAATATAGGCAACTGGTAATTCACTACCAATATTATTATTCCGAACGATCAAAGTATTCAGGATATCGGCCATTTTGTAGGAAATGCTGTGAGTGTCATCCAAACAAAACGCACTGGAGCTCTTCATTCAAATTTTCTGATCGGGGGAAAGAAACCCACAGGTGAGCTAGGATGGGTTCTCAACGTATGCGAATTTTCCAGTAAAGAACTCATAGCCTTCAGATGGCAGTATTTTTTCTATCCAAATCTTGAAAGACACCATATGATTCTTATAGAAATAATTCATCTCCTTCTCAACCTAAAACACGTTATTGTTAATACCAATATACTAATACCCCTAGATTTATAGTCTGACCTTTTTATAGTATTCCAGATATCATGATAATTAACCTTACGATGAGACTTGCCACCATAATAGTCAGATGCCTTCAACATATCAACTCTACTTTGACGAAGAGTCTTTGATTAATGCTGCAGCTGCTGCAAAATGTCAGGTAAACGGTCTCTTGGGAGAGAAAGAATGCAAGTATTGTCCATAAGATCTCCAGGAACATGGTTTATACGATCCTTTTCTATAACGAGCTGATAGAATTTGCTACAAGCATGAAAGTTTCTAACACGAAGAGTACACTTGAAATCAACCTTTTTCGACTTTTTTTAAACTGGACGATCTTTGGCAACAGACTAGTAGTTACCAGCAGTATGACAGCAATATTGTTGAGAAAGATGGACCGAAATTTTCTTGCCTTAGCGCCTTCAAGAGTAAGGTTCATAGATTGGTTGTTGGAATTGGTGATTCTCCAGCCATATACAGAAGCTTCGTTGGTTTCGGCCAGACATTCCTTCCAGCTAGCTGATTCTACTTCAATTCCCTCGCCAGTAATTAACTGCATTACACCAGGAAAGTTGAAAGAGTAATGGCTTCCATAATGTTGTTACTAAATATATCATATTGGTAGACGACATAATTAGTTTAGGGTTGACATAAAAAAAAAATCTTATTAAAGCGCGTAAAAAAAAAAAAAAAAAAAAAAAATGGAAACACAGTCCCTTTTTCAGAAAAACATTTATCATCTACCAACAAATATAAAAATTCGTTCAAAAAGAGCACTACTATAAACCCCAAAGGGAACATTCCTACCGTTAAAGACCAATCTGGTCCCAAAGGAAACACTTCCATCTTACAGTGCTTCCACCCACTTTTTTTGAAAACATTTCCCCCATTGTGTGAAGTTACATTGCTCTTCGTATGACAATGTAGAATTACAATAAAAATAAAAAAGTGATCTCTAATGATGGACCCAAGACATTTGACATGACCGAAGCAAGAAAAAAAAAATAGAACGACCAACTGGTTAAAACTACCACACGAATCAAGACCAATTGCGCAACTTTTCTTTCATTCAAGGAAAACTCGTCAAACCTTTCCAAGCCGCCAAAGCTGCTTGCGTCAATTATGAGAAAGTGAGAAATTAAAAATGTGCGTATAATCAAGATCCGGATAAGACATTCCTTTTTTAAACTTTCAACAGACCAATTTGGAAACCTTTATTAAAGAATAATAGAAGGTTGCGATGATGTTCCTACTGAGCATTTACAAAACTTTATACAGAATTCTATCAATGTTTTGTTCTAAAGGCGTCAAAAAAAATTATCATGTTGCTCCAACCATTAATTTGATTTGTAAGAAGTGGGGCAAATTAGGTTCAAATATTCGGGCAGAATAACGTTTTTTCTGAGCATTCTTACTTCACACAATAGGGGCAATTGTCTTCAAAAAGTGGGTGGAAGCAAATTATGTCCTAATTATAGAAGTGTGCACGTTGAACACACAAATAGGTTTCAATTAAAGAAAGGCAATAAAATTCGTTCAACGCTGCCTAATTTTCGTAAATAAGCGGTACTCGTTGAACGAATCTCTTGAGATTTTTACAAATTTTATACCCCTAACACCCCACCCCACCCCATCCCCAACTTTGTTTTAATTGAGCATACAGATCGGTAGTTCGTATATAACGTTTATTACTAAATCCCCACCAATAGTGGGTTTAGAATATACGCCCTTTTTATGACAAGCTTTATGAAGGTTAAGCGCCCATTTCTCCCATCAAAAAAGATTCATCATTAATATCGTACCGTTCATCACACACCCGAAACAGTAATATAGCAGAAATTAAAAAGTCGTAGTTATAGATGGAGATAAAGCCACTTTTAAATTTATTGATATATAACAGCAATAAAAAGTCTTGACATAATGTTTTTCAAAAAATCAAAAATCAGGTCTCGTAGGGTCAAGTATGTTTTAGCTGTCCCAAAGAGTTGGTTTTTTTTCAAGGGCCCCGTTAAACCACTTGAATTATGCGAAATATACAATACTTTCTCTTATATGGTACCTGTCGAACTGTATCAGTCATTCACAGTTGAGATACGTCATTTAGAACTACTTTCTCAGGTTCATAAAGCCTGTTCCCACACTTTTATTTTTTGGGTTTTGTGATCCTTGTGGTATTTGACAAAAATATTACAAAGAAAAAGTAATGAGAAAAAAGTATATCTTTATTCGAGGTAAAAATAGACTAAAAGAACTCTGCTGCGATGAAATAATTGATCCTTTTTATATTGAACAACTTCCCCTGGTAGTTGTGTTGAGTCAACCTTTCTGGTCTTGTAATAAATCTATACTCAGTTTCCCGCCTTACATTAAATGAATTCTACTCGTTAGAATTGATTTCAAATAACGTCGCCCTGAATCAACCGATCTGGGACACTCTTATTGTTCTGTTTAAAATACAGAATTCCAGTAAGATATTGTGTAACGGTGGCTAGTTAAAAGATGCATAAGGTTTTTGTGTTTAATTGGCTGTGGTAGAACATGTAGATATGTCTGATCATTTATCCATTCTGTTGATTATTTTTATCTAAGACATGGGTAAATATGTGATCCTAAATATAGAACATCTTATCGATGTTTGTATATTTAGTTGTAGAAAATAGGCATCCAAATATTCCATGCACTACTTCTCTTATACACTTACAGTCGTATAAGTTGGGTTTATCAATATATAAGTAAATGAACCATTTATATAAATAGCTGTTCTATTCTCTCTATGGGTAGCTAATCCATTGAGAGAACTATTAATATTAAGTTTCTCTTTCTTATATTTCTTGATTTGATCGGAGAAGCTTCTCTTCCCGACCGGTGATATCGTAACTCAGTGGTATAGAATTCTATATCCAACTGTCATTCGTATATCGATTTTAAGCCAATCATGCAATCTTTTTATATAGAAATATGTACTCATAGTAGGAGTCGTTGTGTAGCAGTATACAGGTGTATGCTGTTACTCAATATTAAAGGATGTTTTTATTCCATGTTTTTATTTTATTCGATTTATTTGTTATTCTCAAATAAATCATACCCAAATACGACATAGCCCCCCCCTAGCCGCCTTGTAAAATTAAACGTTCGGTTTATTTTCAAGTGGTGAGAAAGTAGAAGTATTTGAGGTAAAGTAAATTTGTTTATTGGTATATATGTATTGTATATTTTTATCAGTGCAGCCGCCATCACGTTTTTTGAGAGTGTGACGTACTGTTTACCAAAAAAAAAAAAAAAAATTTGTTATTATTTGTCGTAAGGGATTAGAGAGTCCTTTACTTTATTTATTTTTTAAAACGAACAGAGTCGGTAGCAGGGTTAAATCTGTTCTGATTCAAGCGATTGCTTCGACGGAATGAATCATGCGCCGGGTTACTAGCGATGGGTTTTGTCCTGTTGCTAGTCTTTTGGAACACACGATTATTATTTTCAGTTCGATTATTAGGTTGTGCAATTTCAGTAGATGAAATTGTTTGTAGACGGGTGCCCGTTTTAGTAGAATCAAAAGTAGGAAGATTTGAATCCATATTTTTGAACATTTTGTTAAGTACTGATTCTTCATCTTTAG